ATATAGAGTTCAGCAACTCTGGTTATCTGCACTGGATTTACTACACAAGACTGGTCCTGCTGCCCATCAGTCATAGAAGGTGTGTGTGTGTGTGTGGGGGGGGTGTTCAGATGGCCTTACCTTTGCTGTTGGTGGTTATTGATCGATTCTTGGAGACAGAGAAACATGGTCTTCTGTTGTGTGCCCACTGTCAGGCTCCAAACCCACAGCCATAGAGAATCCTGATTAACCTCAGTGAGTCATAAAATAAAATGAATAGATGCAAACACGAGAGATTAGTGGAGAAGAGGTGGTTGGACAGAGATGGTAGGGATGTGGGAGAGTATGGGGTAATAATGGCCAGTATGCATTATGTAGACCTTTGAGATTAATTAAAATCAAGTTATAGAAACACATACACACACACACATACACACACACACAAACACACGCACACGCGCACACATTTTAAATGAATGAATATCTGCAAAGAATAATCTCTAATTGTCCTTCAACTTTTGGAATCCTGTGACCACAGGGTACTTCCACAAGGAGGAATGCTACCTGTGTTGTGTTGCTTTTTATCTCACATGTTATGCACACTGACAGACACTAAAGCATATTTTTATATTACCCCTTTAAAAAACACAAACAATGTAGTTCTGAAGGATAAGTTGACAAAGGACAGGGTGAATTTCCAAAATTAACTGTGAACGACGGATCATCTAGGCATGACTGAAAGCCGTGCATAACCTTTGTGCTTAGGTACTTCATTTCAAAATGTCACTTTCTCCTCATTCAATGAGACTGTCATTATGCTATTTTAAGCTTTAAATTTTGTGTTCTGAAGCTGAACAGGAATTATTGCTTCTATCTTTGGGCTTATTAGAAATAATTTAAAATTCATTTAAAAGTGATAAAATCACCTTTTTCTAATGGTTGAATTCAGTTAAATGTTGAAAATTGCAATGCAATTCTTATTGTCTTTTTGTATGTGTGTGGCTTTAATTAGCAATAATTCTTCATCTGTATATGTAGCACAAGACTATTTTAAGGGCCTTAGAAAAAATACATTGAGAGTTAATTTTCTTTACTTTTTAATTCACCAGAAATAGATTAAAGTAGAATAAATTAGGGGATAATATTACCGAGAATTTCAGACTTTTCCATATATAGATAAACTTTAAAAATATGACAGTTGAAATATGTTATCATTGATCTACCCTGTGATACATGGGCAAATGAAAAGTTACATTCCTGGAAACAAGTATTCCTCTGATCTTCCCAAAATGAATTATGAGATTTGGGGGGGGGTTATGAAATAAAGATGCGATATAGCCATCACCTTCCCTCCAATATCAAGGAAAGAAATTCAATTATTTGTAATTTATTTAACATTTTACTCTCTAAGTAATCCTTATTCTCACAATCCAATACTGGTACAATACCAGTGGGCCAGGGAAAGAACGACTAGAGTTATATGAATCTGCTGATGATGGGCAGGCAGTCTTCATCACTCAGGGAAGGGAAGAGGGAGAGGTTTGCCTTCTGGTTTGTGAGGGTTTCCCCAGGAAAGGCCAGCTGGAGAACTGCTTCATGTGATGGAGAGCTAAGGAAGCGCAGGGATTAAGTGTATTGCAACAAGGGTCAGTTACAACCAGCAAACCTCCAGAAAGCGGGTGAGAGTTAGGTAGTCTATGTGTGGGCATAAATCAGAGGCTGGAGAATCCTATCACAAGGAACCATGATTACTGTCCTGGTGGTAGAAGCCTGCTCTTGGGTGGATATTTGTCCTGAATAATACTGTGTGTAACAAAAACATGCTCTCTTGAAGAAGGTGAGATGGTATGAGGCAGGGGGTGGAAAAAATCTAAATGCTGCCTTGAGATGAGCTGTATTAATTTTTTATTATTATTAAGAGATTTTCAATTCATTTTACATACCAACCACAGATTCCCCTCTCCTCACTCCTCCCACCCCCCAGCCTTCTCCCCCAACCCACCCCTCATTCCCACTTCATCCAAGGCAAGATCTCCCATGGGGAGTCAGCAGAGCCTGGGACACTCAGCTGAGGCAGATCCAAGGCCCTCCTCCCTGAGCAAAGTGTCCCACCATAGGAACTGGGCTCCAAAGAGCTGTATTAATTTTAAAATAATAGAAATACACATACCATCCTAATATTAGAGGATGGAATACAAATAGGAACCCATCATTCAACTATAAAGGATACGTACATATTTACATAGTGATCAATAAATACATTTTTTTGTCTTAGTTACCTCAGGGTGACATAACAAAATGGGGGCATGATTTAAATTACAGAAGTTCCTTTCTTCATAGCCTTTAACACCAGCAGTCTCAGATCAAGGCGCAGTGTGCTTAGCTTCTACCCAGAGCTTTCTGCCTGGCTTGTAGATGGATGCCTTCCCTCTGTGTTCTGATATGACAGGTAAGGAGAGGTGAAGAGACTCTTCTAGTTACCACAAAGGCCCCTGACTTATGCCAAGCTTACATGTCGACCACAGTTCTGCCTCCAGGTGTCATGATATTGTTCGATGTCTTTAATAGAATGTTTGTGTGTGCAAGAGAACCACAGTTCAGTCAATGATGACTGCCAGTTTCATTATCATCTCACTGACACCTGGAGATTCACATATCATATTTGGTTTTTCTTGTACTCAGTATCTGTAATTTGTTCAAACTTAAATTGTCTCCATGGTCTAAAGAGCTTGTTCATATTTGTTAAGATTAGTTCTTCTAGCTTACTTATACTATACTTTCTTCCAAAATAGGAAATTTCTCCATTCATTTCATGAGTATAAAAGATATTTCATTTTTTGTTCCTTTTCACAAAGAAAACAGCCATTTGCTCACAACTTGAGGGAAACACAAGCATTGATACCACTTATTCCAAAAGTTACCTTCTGATTTGTATGGGAAAGAAGGATGTTGCCTCCAGGTTTCTCTGTCCACACAGCTACTTTGCACAATGTACAAAGCCTGCCCCCCCCCCATTATCTGCATAGGATTTCATAGAGAAGAATGAAAGCCTTACTCTGAATGTGATTGTTCCCATGTAGGAAAGTTACCCATCTCAAAGCATCATCCTAATTGTAGGCTCAGATTAATCGCTTGCTCACAGGGCTCCTCACTCTTATATTCCCCCTCTTTTAGAACCCAACAGCCAAAGGGAAATATGTTCTCAGTATCACTTGTTTAGATGATTCTCTATGTTTGGAAACAGGAAGTAAACTTCAAAGAATATTCCGGATAGACTTTCCTTCTTTGAGGTTTCCATTCTTTCAAAAATCTTTCTAGTTCTAAGTCAGCCTTATTCATGGATAGCTTTACTTTATTCTAATTTGGAATTTTTGTGTGTACATAATCTTATTTTATTTTTTAATATAATAAAATTCATGCTAAGTTGGGTGATGGAAGGAAGAGCTAGTGGTTGTTTTGGTTCCTTCTAAAGAAGAATTGACTAACTAGTTTCTACTTAATTATGTCTATAGACTTTTTACTTTGGGAACTAAAGGATTTCACTAGGCTAGTCCCTTGGGAAATGACAGCTAATTTTTGGTAGTAAGGTTTAAAGGAAAAATATACATGCATTACAAACATTGTTCAAACAGCTTTTTGGGCAAGAGGAAGAGAATACTTGAAATTACAAATCACCCAGCTAAATGAAGTGCATAGTAGAATACTTGATTGTTTCTGTTTTAAAGACACAATGGGTGCACAGAGCAGCCACACACCCAGTATTTAGAAGTATTCCTATGTTTTGGTAAATTTTAGAAAGGCTTTTGGGTCATAAGCAATGTGATTTGAAAACAGCAACGGAGAAATGCAATGTCTCTTGATTTGTGTCTTGACATCCCTCTTAGTTTGCAAATCATAGAGTAGCCTCGTTAACTTTGTCCAATCTTGGTACCTGTGAACTCTGATGTCAGCTTACCTCATGTACTGACATCTTCTTAAGCCACTAGATCTGTCACATTGTATCAGGGGATAATCATTATAAGTATTAATCAACACAATGTGGTTAATAGGGCAATGACGAGATTCTAGAATCTTTCCTCAAGATAAATAATGTGTTTTCATTGCAGACATTTTCCACCTGGATATACCTTACAATATGGTGTCAAGAAGTTTGTTTTCTGTCAAAAGGTGTGGAGCAGGGATAGGACTTCCAGCCTAGAAGGAGGTGGTTCATTATTATACACATCTGTCAAAAGTTCCCAGTTTCCAGCAGTTATTGAAGCTTATGTGTTATCCCTTGGTTATTCTTGTTCAAAACTCTCCAGGGAGTTCAGATGTGAGAGTGGAACATCACTAATAAATTCACACCAAGATAGCATTTAAGACATCTTGCTGAACAAAAGTAGACAAATACACAAACTGTAGCAAGAGATCTAGAGATTAACTAGTCTAGACTCAAGATTTTCATAGCAATTTCTCTGAAGTCTTAGATCCATCTTCATAGGAGCTATTTATTTGCATCAGCAGAGATTAAATCCAAAAGGCTAAGATGTTCTTTATCCTAAATGGAAGGTGAAAGCATGCGTTGCAGCCACACCAGTAAAATATATCAATTTCTGTTACATTTTGTGACTATTTATGTGAACATACATCATAATCTCCCTACCATCACCAATTTCAGTCTCACTTAATTCTTCCAAGTTTATTTTCATATGCCATTATCAAGAAGCTTCACCCTTAAGTTTTCCATTGGTAATCTCAAAACAGAGTAGTAACTACCCTCAGGTCTAATGCATTTATCAGTGTTGGATGAGTAGCCAGATAATAATTAGTCTGAAATTGAGAGTCAGTATGATTCTACCATTAAGATTTTCTGTGGGCTATGTTTGACTATGAATTTGAGTTATCAAAGACTCAAGCTAGTAATGAAGTTGACTACTCCTTGTATCAAAGAATTGCAGAAAATCCAAGCACAGGTCGAATTTGAAAACTTTCCAATATATTCATGCTTTACTCCCCAATCCCTCTTTTTTTTCTTTCAGTGTCTGCCAAGCCAAGACCCCACAGTGACGAATACTCGAAGAAAATCCCCCCTCCAAAACCAAAACGGAACCCTAACACTCAGCTTAGCACGTCATTCGATGAAACCTACATCAAAAAGCATGTGCCAAGGAGAACCTCGCTCCCAAGAGATTCATCCCTGTCCCAGGTCTGCAGCCCCGCAGCAGACCCCGAGGAAGAGGAGCCTGTGTACATCGAGATGGTGGGTAACATTCTTAGAGACTTCAGGAAGGAGGAGGATGACCAGAGTGAGGCTGTGTACGAGGAGATGAAATACCCCATTTTCGACGACCTAGGCCATGACTCCAAATGTGACTTTGATCATCACAGTTGTTCTTCGCAGTGTGCTACTCCCACGGTGCCTGACCTGGACTTCATCAAGTCTTCAGGACCATGTACTCCGAAGGGTCTGCTTTGTGAGATACCCCCACCCTTCCCCAACTTGCTTTCTCACAGACCACCCCTGCTGGTGTTCCCGCCAGCCCCAGTACACTGCTCCCCCAATTCCGATGAGTCTCCGCTGACCCCTCTGGAAGTCACAAAGCTTCCTGTGTTGGAAAACGTGTCTTACATGAAACAGCCACCTGGAGCATGTCCATCCTCCCTGCCATCACACACCTCCAGCCACGCTAAAGACCAGAGCGGAGCCCTAGGCCCTGCGCCTGCGTCCTCTGTGCTCTCTTCATCCCCTCCACCTCCATCCACTTTGTACAGAACCCAATCTCCTCATGGCTATCCAAAAAGTCATTCCACCTCTCCATCCCCCGTCAGCATGGGGAGGTCCCTGACGCCCTTGAGTCTCAAGAGGCCTCCCCCCTACGATGCTGTGCATTCCGGCAGCCTCTCAAGAAGTTCTCCCTCAGTGCCTCACTCGACCCCCAGACCCGTGTCGCAAGATGGGGCCAAGATGGTCAATGCCGCGGTGAATACTTACAGCGCTGCTGTGCAGAGTGGTTCCAGGTCCCGGACACCCACCAGTCCCTTGGAGGAGCTCACCAGCCTTTTTACCTCAGGGCGGAGCCTGCTGAGGAAGTCATCCAGCGGCCGAAGGTCCAAAGAGCCTGCAGAGAGTAAGTTGAACAACCTGGTCTGGTGCAAGCCTCAAAACCAAAAACGAGGCCCCTTGGGCATATGCAAAGCTCAGGTGACTTGCTTCTGAGTCTTTTTGGTCCCAGTGTCAAAATGCAAAGACATTTCTAAATTTCTGGCATGCTAAAAAAACTAGTGTGTTCTAAGTGGGCACTAACTACAAAGATTAAAACTGGCAATCTGCCCAGTTATAATACATTCTATCCCCCACTCCCCCCGCAAAAGATATGAGTTTCTTAAGACTAAAATCTAAATTCTTATAATGACCACAAAAAGTCTAATGGAGAACACCATGAGGTTTTCAGGGAAAAGCTTTGATCTGGAGGGACCTAAACATGTACATCCAGAATTCTTAAAAGTCAAAGCTTGACAAAGATGGCTCCAACTGGCTGTTGGAGATTTTCTGCAGGAAAGAGAGCAAACTGGACAGAGTTTGGGATTTCTTTCCCTTTCATATAAGGAAGAGTTCTGTCTACAAACTTAATGTTATCACAGGCTTTCCTTCATTGTCAATGAGAATAGACTCATCAGTTCTCTACTACACACCATGGCAGGGTCTGGAGAGATGGCTGGGCAGCTAACACACAACACATACACATATTCCACCAGCACCACCACCACACCACATAACACACACACACACACACACACACACACACGCACGCACGCACGCACGCACGCGCACACACACACACACATACACACACACCACCCACCACCATGATGCACCACAGACAGACACACAGACACTCATGCACATAAAAAAATAAAATGAATTTTTAAGCACCATAGCAATATCCTATGTTTAGGCTACTCTTCCAGGATCCATTGTTGTGTACATTATATGAAATCATTAAGATGTGAAAACTGTTGCCAGTGATTTTTAAAGACCAGGAAATTTCAGTTTCTGGGTGACTAGCCCTTTCATGAGCCATACATAGCTCACAACACAAGTCTATAAGAAGTTCCATGCAGTTCCAGGTCAATTGTCTCCATGTTCAGATCATTCAGTCACACTAGGTTTTATTTGTTTTGATTTAAACATGCTTTAGTCATTTAAACTGATTGAATCATCATGTCAAGAGAGGCCACCATGCAATTTGGTTTTCTATTTATGTGGTTCTACTGTTTATATGAGGAATCAAAGAAGTCCCTATCACTTTTGGTGCTGGAGATGACTGTGGCATCCTCAAGTAATCCATAGTCATTGGTACTTGTAAGTGACTTTTCCTCTCTTTACCCGGAAAGATTTATAAATGCATTAGTTAATCAAATGATACCCTCCTCCATCTTTTTATGAGTCTAACTAAAAAGCAGTAGTTTTTAATGACTTCAACGTGTTTGAGTTCCATCTAGACATATATGCATACTTGTAATTATCTTTAAATTGTTTCAATAATTTAATTTAAAAATTAAGGGGATTCTATATTCATGTTAGATACATGAAACAAAAATTATATATGTATATTACATATCAACATCTCAAATCACTCATGCACACACTTCACAATTCTTAGGAGCAATCTGTCTATAGAGCAGTTGCTCAGAATTCAAACAGTTTTTGCCTGCAGGGATGTTTGACAATGTCAATGTCTAGTAAAATCATTAGTTGGCATTCTGGAATGATACTGTTGTCTACAACACGGAAGCTGGGATTGTAGAGAATAATTAAAAACTACTCACTAGAAGGCAGATACATAACAAGTTTTTTTTTTTTAAATAAAAGAGAAAATTGTGAAGAAATGATTTACTTTTAAAATACACAATTACCCTGTGAAATTATCAGGAGTTTCACTTAGGATTGGTGAAACCATTGGCTTTCTCCATACCTATCAGCTTCTTTGGAGAATCCTTAACACCCCCAGCTGGTAACTGTGCCAATTAGCTAGAAAAACTATGTGTAAAGGGGACAATTACCTAATGAAGTTATTTCAGGTGGAAAAAAATCCATCTGCTAGTATCAGTTTATGTGCTGTATATCAGAGACACCACTATCTGACTTTGAAAGGGCCCTGCATGCTTCTAGAATAAAGCTTGTGCATGCAAGAGTGATCTGGATCTTTTGCAGCCTTTGGGAGGCAAGGACTGGATTCCTTTCCATCATCTATTAGCTTTGTCTCAACCCTTCAGAGAAAGTCATGCTGAGTTTCATTAGCCATGACATTTTATTCTACATAAAGGAGAGGGAAGAAAAATGCAGAGTAGGAATGAATAATGAAAATTTTAATTGTCCTTGACTGTGGAGGAAAATAGAAAAATATTACTTTATGGTAAAAAAAATCAGAAATGCTCTTAGAAATATTATGTGATCCGCAAGAACCAAAACTGTTAATAAACACAAGTTAGCTGGTAATTGTTGCCTCACTCACTACCTTCAATGACGCCTTTTTTTTCCCTTTATTCCAGAGGGACAAGGTTTGTAGGCACCTGTTGATATCATAAACACAGAATTAGTGGCACAAAGTACTGAGAAATTCATGACCTGAGTGTTGTTAAGTTTTTCGAAGTAATATTCCAGGAATATTTTACATTTTAGGGATGAAAGTAAGATTATCTGTTTTCCCTCTCCCTTTCCTCATTTGAAAAGTAATTTAAAAGCATTTAATCTAAAGAAAATATGACCTTGCTTTTACTAAAGAAACAAATGTAAAATATAATTTATACTTTTGGATATTATTTTTTAATGATCTAAAAGACACGTTTTCTAGTTTGCTTTCTGCTACTGTGCTAAGGCAACTTATGGAGGGGAAGGGTTCATTTGGCTTACACTTTCAAGCCACAGTCCGTCACTGAAGGATGTCAAGGCAGAAACTGAAGGCAGAAATCTGAAGGTAGGCCTACTTGTTATACAGTACTACCGGCAACCAGGGAAGCCACGCCAGAGCCAAGGAGGTACAGCAGACACTGGAGAAGCACTGTTTGCTGGGCTCACTTTCCAGTTCACTTGCTCACAGGTTCATGGGTAGCTAGCTTGCTTGTACACCCCAGCACCAGTTCCTATAGAATGGGGCTGCACATAGTGAGCTGTTTTCTTCTGAATCAACTAACAACCAAGAAAATCCCTCATCGGAGCTAGAGAGATGGCTCAGTTACACTTGTTTCTCTTACAGGGTACAAGAGTTCAGTTTCCAGCAATCATATTGCAACCATCCCTAATTTTAGTTCCAGGGGATCTGGTGCCCTCTTCTAGCCTCCATGAACACCATGTATACATGTGACACACAACATACATGCAGGCAAAACACTCACATTCAAAATTAAAAAAAAAAAATCTTAAAAAAAAAATTCTTTCAGGGACCTACCTGCTCACAAACTAACCTAATAGAGACAGTCAGGTTTTTAGTCCTGACCTGTCACAAGATGCATTGACCTCAGAAATCTAGGATTCTTGTATTTGACTGCTGATGTCATTGTTATCACTGTACAGTAGCTTGATAGTCCATGACTATTGCAAGGGAAATTAAGAGAGTGATTCAGGACTGAAGCTATGGCTAGGAAAGTGGCTCAGCGGGTATGAGAGCTTGTGCCGCATGATGACCTGAATTCAGATCCCAGCACTTACATAAAATGCTGGGAAGAGGTGCTCACATGCCTTTAATGCTAATGCTCTGGGCAGTGGTAACAGGAGGCTCTCCAGAACCTATCTCCTGGTTCATTGATGGCCTCTGTCTTAGGGGATTAAAGCAGAGGGTGCTAAAAGAAGACACCCCCCCCACCAATGTCCTCCTCTGTCCTCTGCACTCACACATATGTACATACACCACACATGTGTCATACTCATACAAACAATAACAATGGCAACAGCAAAACCGCTAAAGGCAATGACGTCCCCACAACAGATGATCCAGAAACTGACTCAGGTAAACGTAACAAGTATGGCAGACCCTTACATGCTCTCAGCACCCTCTTCTTTGTCTTTAGATTTGTGAGTTTGTCCACCCAGACCCTTGCCTTTAAAATTACCAAAACAAACAACCTAGCTTGTTAAGAATGGGCTGGTTTGTTCAATCAGTCTGCTTTTAAAGCTAAAAAAAAAATCTCTACTCAGGGTGGTAAGGGTAAGCAAAGAATAACTAAAAGTCCTTGATTTTGAAAATTCATGTGACTCTGTGGTTAATTGGGATGGTGACATTGTCTGTTTTCCTCATGCAGTTTATCCTAGAATTGCAGTTCGGAATCACTGAAGAAAACATAATTTCATAAATAATTGCTCACCTTTCTAGGGGTACACTGCAGCTGTCTTTGATTGATGCAAGTAGACATGTTTATCCCTAGTGTTTATATTCACTGGCTGCTGAATCTTTAAGTGCAATTTCTTGTCAGCAATTTAAGCAGCAATTCTCTCCATTAAGAAGAACTCTTGCTGCTTTAGACTCTAAAATCCAGTCACATTGTCAATTCAGAAATAAACTACATTCGTCTATTTAAAAAGAGAATCTCTCAGTCATACATATACTTCAACTGATTTCTTTCAGTTTACTTACCTGATTAAGTTAGATGAAAAAGGAAATTTATTATGTGGGTTTCATTTACTATCATGGATTTTGAAAGCTTTGACAAATATAATTATTAAACTCCTATGTTTAAGTAAGAAGGTTCCTAGTGCCATATTATAGTGTCTGATGCATGACTTCTACTTAACTAAATGATCTAGGGATTTAGAGCAAGATTGGATGTCATAAGAAGTAGTTTCCATCTTGGCCCAATCACAAAATGTTGAGACTTTGGATGAGGCTTTTATGCCATAGTTTTCCAAATTGTCAATTGAAAATACAAGGTGGTAAAACCCTTCTGCTTCTGTGGGCTTCTGGGTGGCTTGACAATCACCAGGTAAACCTCTGAGTCTTTGTGTCTGAGGTCTTCACTTGCTGCAAGGGATTCCTACAAATTCCTTAAAACCATGTCAGTTTTACCTTGGCGTCTCTATCCAGAATCTGTCAACTTAGAATTTTACCTATGATAGCATCTGTGTGTGCTCCTC